ATTTGATATTAACATTAATATTTTTTTTCAAATTTTTATGATATCATCAAATTTATATTTTATTCAAAAATAAAATCATTATTGCTTTCTTAAAAACAAATAAAATCGTATTATAACATCGACAGGGACAAATAAAATAGAACATTAAAATCGAGATTTGTCTCGCTGCATTGCACGAGTACTCTTCTAGTTATGAAAGATGTATGCAAAATTAATATTTAATATAACTTATAGCTTGTTTTGCAACCTACTTTTTTAAATTGATTCTAAAATGAATTGCACATAGAAAACTATAATTAAGGGTCATATAAATGTAGTTAACTGAATAAAGAGTGAATTGCACTAGTGATCTTGTGATATGTTCAAATTTTGAATTTGGTCTCTAAAACAAACTATTTACATTGATCTTCCTAAAAAATTTGTTTAATAACACTTAGGGTCTCTAAAGTCAACTCTGTCAGTTAGCAACCGTTATAAAAGACTAATCATTCTTTGGATAAACTTTGGGGACCAAAAGTGTAGTTCGCTCTAAATTTTTTGTGAACCGCATATTTTTAAAAATGAGCAAATTGTATGAAAATGCAACGTACTTTATCATGATTCCTATTTTAGGTAACATGCTTTCGAAACATTTGTTTTGGTACCTAAGATGTAGACTTTTCAAATATTGACATGTTTAACCATTAACTGGTTAACATGTTGACATACAAATTATGTGAACATACAAGTAAACATCATTTGCTGATGTGGCCGGTGATATAGACTTTTAATATAAAATTAGTTTTAAAAATAGTTATTTTTATTAGAATTTATTTTATTTGCATTCCAAACAAATAAATAAAATACACAAGATCAATGTATGATTTTTCATGTTTTTCAACCAAGATGAATATCAACCAATATTTAACCTAGATGAATATCAATTAATATTTCATGAAATTTGCAAAAACAACTAAAAAATCTATGATGAGAATGAAGAACATTAACAAAAAGTTCTACCAAAACCTGGAAGTTATAACACCAAATCAACTCATGTTAACACGGATGAATATCAATTCATATTTCATAAAAATAAGCAAATTGTCATTTCTAACCCTCGACAAAGAACATTATGTAAGTTTTTAATGCAGGTCTCCCATATTTAATCAATAATTTAAGACAATAACCGTTGCTGATATCAAAGCTCATAAAGACATAATTACGAAGACAACTCCTATATAAACAAAGTTAACCCAAAGGGGAATGTAACACCCCCAAATCTCACATTGCATATAACATATGTTACATTCATAGATTACATGTTTTCCCCCACATAGGTCCATAATACAAGAGACTATGCTATAAAATATACAACTCAAAAATTCCAAAAGTACATGTTCTTGTATCTTAACATCTATACTTCAAAACATGACTAATTAAGAACTTCAAAACATGACTAATTAAGATCTTCATACAGCTAAGCACATAGGGAAATAATCATAGAATGCTCTTTCCCTTATTATCATTACCTGCACACATATTTTAAAACACAAAATGAGGGTTAGACATGAATGTCTAGTGAGGTTCCCTTTTTATGTAATGCAGGGTGAATATCACCAAAATATTTAAACCATTTCATATAATGAATGATAAAACCACATTCTGTTTGAGTCCATCGGACCTCTGGTTCCAAAAAACATACTTAGAACATATTCTGTTTGAGTCCATCGGACCTCTGGTTCCAAAGACCACACTTAGAAAATATTTCAACTCATAAGAGAACCAGAGCCCCTCTGGTTCCTCTACGAGATCCTCTGGTTCCTCGACCAGAGCCTCTGGTTGTACTAACCAGAGCCTCTTGCTCAGGTAATTTCTCATAATGTTCCTTGACTAACTTTGTAAGTAATAAAATAGCCTTTTTCATAACTAAAAATGATTAAAAAGAGTTCATTTATAACCAGAGCTTTTGGTTCAAAAGACAAGACCAACCCGATGTGTAAGCCAACCAGAGCCCCTCTGGTCTGTTTTCATAAAAAAAAATTCTAAGTATAAAAATCATTGAAATATCTTTAAAATGTAGATTTGACACAGAGCTCGTTTCTTACAAATACAGAGCCTCTGGTTTAACTAAAACTTTGTAAAACACTTGTATAATTTTCAAACCATCATCCAGAACCCTCTGGTTCTATATTGAGGAACAATCAGAGCTCCTCTGGTTCCTCATAAAATGAACATTCTGATCTAAAACACTTTTAACCAAAACCAATGACCATAGGCCATACTTTCCCGTAACCATAACATCAATACCATTATTTCTAATAAGAACAACATCTCTGAATYCTCAAATCACCAAGAAGTGAGAACTCCAATCTGTTGTAATCTTAAAAGATATAATAGCAAYAGTTATACCATGCACACACAACGACCATCCTTATTACATCCAAAATTCCCCTTAATAGCAACAACTATATCCATCACACACAACGACCACCCTTATTTCCCCTGAAATTCTAATGAACTATTTCATCCAATGACAGGCTGCAGTCATTTATGTCAGAGTGAACCTCGTCTATAGTTTTAACCAATCATGGTCTTAAAATAGGTTTATATTCAAAACCTTTTTAAGCCTTAGAACAATCTGTTCTGTAAATGATTTCTCAAATCATCTAATCTTCTTTAAATCCTCAACACAGGATATCATTTCCAAAACTGTTTTTAAAGCACAGTTTCTGCTTTAATCTTTCCAAAACAGTTTCAAATTTCAAAATCATAAAACATTTCTTTTAAACTGTTTAGAACAGTTTTACCAAACTCTTTCTAAATCTCAGACCACCAAAACCCAACGGTTTATAAAATCAGACAATAGCTTAAAACTCAAAGTTTGTAATCAAACAGTAATTCAAAAACTCACCTTAACAACACAGATTCTGCAGATAATAATACACAACAAATCTTTAAATCACTTTTGTGCAAAATTCTTCTCAAGAACACTTCCACCGCCACACAAACACTCCTTTTTCCTCTCAAAAGCTTTATGAAAATAAAGATAAGATAATCCTTATCTTTTATTCTCCTTTTTATGTGCTCACTAAGGCGGTGAGTGTTTTTAATATTATAAACCTCTCTCTTAGGCGGTGGTGGTTGTATTATATTACAAAAAAATTGACTTTGCTTCACCATGAAGATAACACGTCTTCATATTATAAATAATTAAATTCCATGTATGCACCACATCATATACACGCACATATATATCATGTATGCATCATATCACCTTTTCACCTATATGCATACCATTCATGCAATAATTAATTATTATGCCTGTCATCACGTAGTTTCAAATAATAATCACGTATAGGTTACCTCAACCCAGGTTGTCTGAAACCCAGTTATAACAGGGAACACACAAGTTATATTCTTTCAGGCAACATACGAAGTTCACTCGAAGCATTGTTAAAGCATTTTTGACGTTTTCAATCAAACTCACGATTCTTTACTTAGGATCATATTGTAATCTTTATATTTACGACAATTGTTATCAA